AATTTATTTTCATGTTGTTTATGCATGATAAATTGCGTTAAGTTAGTGAAGATACCAGCTAACATTTTTAAACTCCATCCAAATGTTTGGTAAAGTAAAGAGATGTTAAGTCCTGTGTTTAATAGACTAATTATTATTTTAGTAATAAAGAATATTCCTAATAGGCCGGAGACGAAAGTTCCAAGAGTGGTAAACCATCCCCACATTTTGTGTAGTTTGTTTTCTACCATTTGCCCAATGGTGTTTTCGTCTATGAGACCTTGTAGTCTGAGGCCTTGGTCGGTGTAGGTATATCCTGGTGATTGTCTTACATACGGGAAATATTATTACATATTATATTTCTATGTGTACAATTTAATGAATCAATGCAATCAAATTACTAACTCTTAGTTATAATTATTTATTTAATTTTTACCTGTTGACAGTAGCGTGTCTTTAAGCTCGGGGACTCGTTCCTGTGGGCTGTGAACAGTGTTGCCAGATGTAAGAGGTCAAAAATTTCGATCTTAACTATCGAAAGTTTCGATTTTCTCATCAATATCCTCAGTTATCTCATAATATTTATTGATAATATTGTTGATATGAAAAAACTACTTTCAATTAAAATAATTATTATAAAAATAGGTAATATGTAGGTAGCAACTGCCAACTAATAACTATCAACATTTGTCTAACAATAGTGTGTTTAACATAACATTTATAAAATTATTATAGTTTACCATATACTATATACAGTAATAGAACCATATCAAGAAACATAAAGAGGTAAAAATGAATCATTATTAAATTTGGTTAAACAAAGTTTTATTAATATAAATTTCAATATAACATTACAATATCCATCTTGATTTAAATCTAAATAATGATGATAAAGAAAATAGTAATAAACAATACATATTTTCCCTGTACATAAGCAATTCATAAAATTTTAATAAAAAAAAACATAACAACTCAGTCATATATATATTTTATTATATATTTATTTTAAAAATTATATTTTATACATACTACTTGTATGATATTTTAACATATCTTCATCGATATTGAAATCAAAACATGATTTTTCTTGAGCACTTAAAATATTTTTAGCGTATAAAATCCCTGTTAATGTTTCAGTAGATAACCTATTTCTTGTTTTATTTTTGTTTAAATTAATTGTACTAAAGATTCTTTCTACTGCTGCACTACTATGAGGTAATATAAGTATATATTGCACAAGATCATTGATTAATTGAAATGTTTCTGAGTCATCAGAATTTTTTATACTTTTAACACATTGCCAAAAATCCATCATAGGCATATCATAGTCCAAATTTGTGTTTTGCATAAGTCTCCACTGTCTGTCCAAATTATTTAAGTCCATAGGTAGTTTATGTTTAAAATGAATAGCAACCGGAGAAATGGTAACTATATTCTTAATATTTTTAGGCTCAACAAAACTCAAATTTTTTAACATTTGAACATGTGGTGAGTTAAATGGAAATCTTTTATATAATTGATGACAACATTCGATATAAAAACTAAGACAAATGTTGAGAAATTCATTTTTGTTTGGAATCAAATTTTTTGAAAGGAGAGCCATACAGTAACCACCGACATACATATCATCCAGAGGTAAGAAGTTGGTAGGGTTTCTGTATTGTATTTGTGATACACTTGTGATTTCTAAATACTCAGATTTGATAAAAAATGATAAGACAGTTTTATACATGGTTTCAATTTTTGAATAAAGTTTGTACACTTTTGGTTTGGCAGATTGGAATTCAATATTAAGATCTGTGATGATTGGAAGAATATAGTCCAAAAAATGTAAATAAATTTCAATCATTGGATCGCATAACATTAAATGTATTCTATCGGCATTATTATCTATTAACTTTTCTCCAGTGAAATATAATTTTAAGGCCGAGTATTGCTCAATCACACGTTTGATGCAACTGTGTAAAGATAGCCATCTGGTTTGGCAGGGTTGAAGTAACTTGTGTGGTTTTGCTTCGACAAACATTTGGAACTCGTTAAAAGCTGACTGTCTCTTAAAACTATATTTAAGGTATGTATAGACATCACGTACAAGCTGTTCGACTTTATTTTGAACTTTTTCGCATGCATAAGATGCAATAAGAGCCAGTGAATGACAAGTACATTTTATAACAAATAATCCAGGGCTGTCTATTTCTAACAATGTTTTAACAGACCTGTTTACTCCAAACATTACACTGGCTCCATCAGAAGCAAATCCTACCATATTTTTTTTGAAAGGAATATTATTGTTATTGAAGAATTCCAAAAGAACAGAATGAATCCATTGTGCAGTGCCATCAGCTACTTTTAGTAGTGCTGCAAATTCATCTCGAACAGTAAACTTTTTAAAGTCAAACATTCTTATTACAATTGCCAAATGTTTGATTGACGAATGGTCAGTTGACTCGTCAATCATGATTGAAAAAAATTGTGTTTTCATTTTTGATACACGGTTATCGAAATCAAACTGACCAATGACATTGCAGACAATAGAAGTTGCCTTTGTACGATTACATGAGAATTGTTTTATGACATCTGACTCAGGACAAATAGATTTAAAAAGTGAAATGAGATGATCCGACGATCTAAGGGCAACATTATGTTCTACGATGTACATTGATATTCTTATTTCAGATTCTTTCATTTTTTTAATGAATGTGGTATGTGGTTGGAATGCAGATGAGGAATTAATTTTTGAAGATATTTGGGTGGATCGCATATTTTGTTGGTGTTTTTCAGAAATTGAGTGCTTACGGACAGCTGATTTTCCACCCAAATAATCAGAAAAACAAACTTTACAATGAAAGTGAAACACATCTCTCTTACTTTTTGCTATCCACGCCTTGAATTCCTTTTCTTCTTCCCATTGTTTGCAATATTTGTGGGCATAAGGTTTTTTCTTAGGCCAACCTTTACCTTGACTTTGCATATCATCGTCGCTTGAATTTGACATTTTGGCTGTAAATATAAACACTTTTATATTTAAAAAATAATTTATTCAAATAGGTACCTAGGTATATAATGTAATAGCTCACCTTTATAAATTATTTCCTTTAAGTTTATAATCTGATGGGTGGATCCACACTAAATTGAATTAAAAATAATTATTATTTTAAAGAACGAGTTATTTATTATTTAAAATCACACTACGTTCACGCCTACGATGTAATAAGCCGATTTACGGTTAAAAGATAGATGACAGGACTAATGTAGTAATGACTAACCATGAGAAATGAGAATAGTGAGGTATACGTTAGGCCTTAGGCGTATAAATTGCGTTGCGTACACGAATTAAGATTGTAATTTTCGTGATAATCAATATTTATATGAATCTGGGAAAATTCAAAAATCCTCAAATATCTCCAAAAATAACTAAATCCTCAATCATATCCCCAACACATTGGTAATTCCCCAGATTGAGGAAAAATCCCCAAATCTGGCAACACTGGCTGTGAAAGAAACTGTCAAAGAAACTAACATTGGAGTGAATAAGTCATGAGCGAATGAGCGATAGCTATTCCTCAGTATTATACGTTTACATTGCTTGCCTTCAATTTATTATTAAACGCTTTCGGTTCTACGTGTTTAAAGATAAAAGTTTATCACTGTATCTGCCGCCGACGAATTCGATTGTACTAAAAATATGCCTATTATATAACTAACATTATGCGTCGCAATAATAATTATTTGTCGTATATACCCAATATATTATGGTATTTCATAATATGTACGAATGAAAGATAATAGTATAATACTATGTTATGCCGGGTTTACACGATGCTTAGTACTTGTCATTAGTACTTGTCACTGGCACTTGTTACTCGCACTCGCTCATTGATTGAGCGTTCACACGACACTCGCACTCGCACTCGCACTAAGCACTAAGCACAGTTTTTTTACTGTTTACACGGGGTGTATAGTATAAGTAAATAGTAGCATATTTATTATCATTTATATATGATAATCATTGATAATAATATTAAATTACATTTATATATTAAAGTGAAGAAGTATATAATGGACCGTCGTCATATCGTAAAACAAAGTGTGAAATATTATTCAAACATAATAATTTCATCAATCATAGATGAACTAGAAGTTGAAATAAGAAAAAGACAAAAACGGATCTGGACAAAAAAATGGTTACTTAGAAGGGATACACATGGCAATTCAGTTGGTCTATTAAGAGAGCTCGCAGTAGAAGATCAAATGGAATACAAAAGGTTTATGAGAATAACACCTGTTCAATTTGACTTTTTGTTAAAAAAATATAAGACACCGAATACAACGTGAAGATACAGTCATGAGACTTGCGATACCTGCAAAAATCAAATTAGAAGTAACATTATCATTTTTAGCAACCGGAAATAGTTATAGGAGTTTATCTCACTTTTTCCGGGTTTCAAAACCAGCCAATAGTGTGTTTGTTCCAGAAGTTTTGGACGCTATGTATGATATCCTTAAAGATTATATAAAAGTAAGTGAAATAGTAAATAAAACTTCATATAATGTAAGAATATGGCCTCCTATAGTTTTGAATAGCCAGTTCAGTCAATATTGTTTGTATTCTAGATTGAGCGATCAATGCATTTTCATAATTTAATTGTTTTAATTGGGATGCCACACTCTTCCCAAAGCAATCAAACTGATTTTCTGGTACTTCTGGCTGATCTTTTATAATTTCTTGTAATTGTTTCAGTTCATTAATTGCACGAAAAATGCCTTTCCTATTGGTTTCTTTTTTGTTTGTTTTGCTAGGTTCTCTATTGTTTTCGAATGTTTCTCCTGAATTCATAGGTATAATGTCAATATTAGTTTCTTCAGTCTCTTGGATGTATTGAGATTCAATACTTTGAGTATAATTTTCCGAACTAGAATTCGTTACGGTCTGAAAATAATTAAATTTACATAAAAAAGTGCACTAAAAATGTAAAAAATAAGATTTTCTTTTTTTTTCATAACATTTTACAAAATTAATAATGACTATTTCTTTACCAATTAATTAATTTACTATTAAATACAATGTTTCAGGTACCTGCTACTCATGACGAATGGAATATTATAGAAAGAGGTTTTAATTCAAGATGGAATTTTCCGGGGGCATATGGCGCCATAGACGGGAAGCATGTAATGATTCGTGCACCACCTGATTGTGGCAGTGATTTTTATAACTACAAAGGGTCAAACAGTATAATTTTATTAGCGGTTGTTGATGATGATTATTGTTTTAGCTATATTAATGTTGGAGCTAATGGGAGATGCTCGGATGGCGGTGTTTTCCAAAATAGTTCTATTTTAAAGGATCTTGAAAATGGCATGTTACCAACTGGTGGTTTTTTTGTAGGAGATGCAGCATTTCCACTCAGAACGTATTTATTGAAACCTTACCAACACTCACCTCTGACGTACGAACAGAAGATTTTTAATTACAGACTATCTAGGGCGCGCAGAATAGTTGAAAATGCATTTGGCATCCTAGTGTCCAGATTTAGGATTTTTGAAAAACCTATTGGAACAGATGTGTCCACAATAGATAAAATCATACGTACAGCTTGCGCTGTACATAACTGGCTGAGGAAGACTTCAAATAATTATTTAATTAGAGACAATGTAGACTATGAAAATGTAGACACTGGGGAGATTATACCAGGTACATGGAGACAGGAAAACCTAACATTAATGTCAAGTATTGACCGAGTAGGAAGTAATCACTATTCAAGACAGGCCAGAGAAATAAGGGAAAAACTTAGTAAATATTTTGTAAACGAAGGTGCTGTCTCATGGCAATCCAGAATGATTCATTGAATTCAACAGATTCCATAATATAATAAATATGTATTTATATATTAATATTATAGCAGTTAAGTTTTAGATTTAATAATAATTATAAAATTTATTGTAATACTAAGGTAAAAATAAATTTCAGTTTAACTAAAATGTAATAAATATTTTATGATTAAAAACATTACAATTGTATATAACTACTTAGAGTCTAAAATAATTAGTTATACCAAAAATAATTTTAAACTGAGTGTTTAAGAAATTGTAACATAATACAATACTTACATTATCAATAGTTTTCCTACGTTCATCCGAATCTTTTAATAATGCGTTCATCTCTGTAAACCATTTAATGTTTGGAACGTACACATTGTCACCACTACTTCCTGATGATTTTGATTTTTCAATTTTTTTTTTTCTTGATAATACGTCGATTTTAGGTTTCTCATTTTGTTTTTCACTTCAGCTACATTGAAACCGTCAATAGCCATTTCGACAACAATTTTTTGGTATGCCGCTTCACGCATGTGTTTGTTTTTGTAAGAACTATGTTTAGCGTTCCATAGACATTCATGTGATTTAAACTCCTCGATAAAATTTATAGTGGTTTGCGCATTCCACTTTTCAGCCATTTTAAACTTTTTAAAGTAATTAAATGAATTTAAAAATATTAATATAACGAACAATATTTATCATTGATATTATCACAGTGTGCAACATGCGCCGCACACGTGATAACACAAATATTACTAAGCACTAATACCATTGATTAAATATACATAGATAGCCCACGCAATGATAAATATTGGAAACGCATATAATGTCCCAAATGGAGCCAGAATTATAGTAGTAATGGATTCCTGACAACAAATTGCGCTGATGTGCCCATATAAATTATAAACATTTATAATCTCCAATTTATTGTTATCTTATTACTAATATCATTGATATCAAATTAATCAATGTTGATAAACCGTTATACTTAATACGTTATACTCTAATGTTACACCATGACGTATTATACTTGTTTATTATACTTCGCTCATCGCTGTTAAGTTTGTCTTATAAAATCACTTTTCGACTTCGACATGTCACGAAGTGGAAATAAGTGTGCGTATTGTAGTAACCAGTTGCTCTTACTGATCGTGGTTACTGCAATACTTCTTTAACGACGAATGCACAATGTTTGTACTGCGACGTATAAGTTCAGGAACGGAAGGTGTTTGAATAAAAGTTTTATTTGACAAAATATCACTTTGAATGTTTATTACAAGTAAATATAAAATATAAAATAACTTCAATTATAATATATGTGTTTAGAAATGTGTCGACTTAGTATTGAACTACTAGGCCGGAGAGACTGTGTGTGGAACGTTTCCCTAGAGGCTCTTGGTAAGCATGGGTGAAACGTTTGTGTAATGAACTATCTCTGCCTGCTTCTCTCATAACTACTCCTATTTTATGAGACATGCAGTGATTAAGGAGAGGATAATTTACGCCATAGGACTGGCGTGATGCGCCTAAACTTGGCCTTAGCGAATCAGATGGCAGCATCAATATGCTGATCTAGTGGCGTGATGTTGTTCTGACCGACTGTACTTTGGAACGACGTTTTTATGTAAAAACGCCGGTTTACTACATTCCTCCCCTCTTAGAATGATACTCCGTATCATAAACGTGGATACACGGAATATCCTGTATTTTGGGATGTGGACGGTGATTGCAAAATGTCGTCCTCTGGTGGGTCTTGTATGCTGCCCGTGGCTGAACTATCCTTGTTTGGTTCAGATTGTTTAAGTTCTGGGAGTTGAACTGGTATTTGAAACGGTACTTGTGCAGTTGCTGAATTTCGTTTGATGAATTGCTTTGGTCCGTTATTGTGATTTCTCCTGTACCATGGCGTTTGTTCTATGTAACTTGTAATAAGTAGCAAAAGGCAAACAACCGTTATTGCACTGACTACATATAGTAAATAGTCGTGTCTATTTTTGCTGGTTTTAATTTCTTCTGCTTCTGTGTTCTTGGTCATCATTTCCTCAATTTCCGATGTAGATTTTGCAACTGCATTTAAGTCGAACATCTGGTTGGTTCGGACATGTTTATTTTTTAATATATTAGTAGTTAAACTAGCGTATCTCACTTCTGGTTCATTGATTCTGGAATTTGGTATAAAATCAATGTATTCTTTGTCGGTTTCCCTCTTATGTGGTATCAATATGTCACGTGTTGCGTAAGCTTTACACGTTTCGTTGATTGACAAAATTCCTACTCCTTGAAGAAAATGATTTTCACTTCGTTTATCGTGATCGCATGTTATGAATATGGTTTCACCTGGAGTAGCATAGATCCACTCATTTTTGAACTTTAATTTATGAAATAAGTTCGTTTGTAACTGTACATGCATGATTCCGCAGCTATCTGGAACCTCTTTTGGATCTTGTAATAAAAGCACCTCGCAGATGGGTCGTACACTTCTGGGATGTAAAGGATAAATTTCAGGACATATTAGGAAATCACTGGCATGTTTACATAAGCTTTGATCTATCTTATCATACGTTGAATACAATTCTTTTGACCTAGTTATAGCTAGATAATTATGATTAGGTTTTACATATAGACAATTGTTATTTTCACAACTTGGTATTGGTATTAGCTGAAAAAGAGTTAATTCATGTTGATACACTAAAGGTACACTTAAAACAAAAATAACTTTGTCATTTAAATAATATATCGCTATGTCTGAAAGAGGTATTATTTCCTGTACATTATTTTCGTTTAAATCTAGAGGCAAGTCTGTACCACTAGGTAGTCCTATTTTGATATCCAAAAGTTGTTTAAGCAACTCTTGTGGACTTAATAAGTTAGGATGTATTAACCCTAATTTTGCTGTTTGTATGACGTCGAACAATAAACTAGTCTCTGATAAATACATTTCTAGCATTAGATTAGCTTGTATAAAATGGAAAGATAAGAAAACTTTTATATTTAATTCGATCGTCATGTTTTTGATTTCTTTCACAGCGTCAATTAGGTTAATTACAACTATTTCCCCTTTATTTTGGTTAAGTTTGATAACCCTGAGTTGTTGTTCTAAAACATTTTCCTCTGTATGATTGCTATCAACTAATTTTTGTACATTAGAAATTGACTTTAAAATACATAGATGGTCACATAGTCCAAATAGGATTTTCGCGACTTTCGTCATTGTTTTAAATGGTATCCCCCTTTTTGTAAGACGCGGGTGACCTATTGATTCATATATTATTTTTTTCTTGTCCTCAGCTACCTTAGCTATTAACTTAATTAACGTATAAATACTTTCACAATTTGTTTGAAATATATTGGTTTCTTTTAAATGCAAACATAACTTGTTTGTCGACTCTAGATACTCTGTTACGTCTTTTGTTCTTTGATAATAAGACGCTATGTCGTAATATGCTACTAAGTCCCATTGGGCAGTCCGTATTCTCATCGGACCTTGGTTTTCGTAATATATACCTGCTTGTGTAGTAATTCTTTCATCGGAATATCTTTCAATGCCGTGAATGAAACATACTCCCATTATTACATACATTATTCTGAACAATGTATTGGTTATAGAATACTATTTATTTCTATACATATATTTTTTTTTTTTTTTTTTAAATTAGGATTCAATTATGACTACATGTAACAATAAAATAAATTAAAATTTAGAGGATCCTATAGCTATATATATATACCTATAAACAATATAGTGTTAAGACACATAAGTGTTCATAAATCGGTCTCAAAATATTTTTTTGTATTATTTACGTGGATCCTATAATCCCTCCTCCCTTTTTTAATTGTTACATTTTCGTTGTCATGTACTATTATTATTTCGTATGGTCCCGTCCAATTTTGGCTTAAAGTGTTTTTCTTATTTTGTTCCTTTAGTAGAACCTTATCTCCTACGTGTAATTCCATTGGATTTGCGCTTTGGTCATAGTACTGTTTATTTGTATTTTTTTTCTCAATTAGGTTATCTCTAGCTATTTTATGTGTTTCCTGCATAATTCTCTTTAGGTCTAATGCGTAATTGTCGTAATTATATTGCGGCTCTGGTGGCAGCAGAAATCCTGACGGAATTATTGGTTTTTTCCCGAAAACCAATTCGTATGGTGTAAAATTGGTTGACGTGTGTACTGTCGTATTATAACAGAACATTGCGAAACTAAGTAAAGTATCCCAGTTATTGTCTTTGTCCACAAAACTGCGCAAGTATGCTTTAAGTGTTTTATGCGAGCGTTCAAGATAACCATTTGATTGAGGGAACCAAGGGGTGGTTTTAGTTTTCTCGATTTTAAGTATTTTGCATACGTCTTTAAATAAGTTTGATAAAAAATTGGTTCCACAATCTGTTAAAATAGTAACTGGTATACCGTATATGCATATGAAACACTCTACGAAAGCTTGCGCTACCGTAGTTGCATCGGTCGAGGCTAAAGCTATAGCTACGCCGTATCGCGATAATTCGTCCTGTATAGTTAATATAAATGCGTTCCCCATACTAGTTATCGGAAGGGGACCCACTATGTCTAAACATATTTTATGAAACGTTGTAGTTACTGTTGAAGTGATTAGCATTGGTTGTTTAATTTTCCTACCCGATTTGTTTTTCTGACATATGCTACATTTTTTAATATAGTTTTGTACGTCTTGTTTCAAATTTTTCCATTGGTATTTTAATTTTAATCTTTTCACCGTGCGAGAGGTACCCTGGTGCCCCCCTACTAATGTATCGTGGTATTCCTTAATTATTTTATTTTTCTCATCATTCGTAAAATATTGTTCTTTATAGATCGTTATTCCTATATCTGTATTTCGGAATAAATAACGGAACATTGTACGAATGCGTTCGAAACAGGTCAATGTCGTTAACCCTTCTAGCCTGATTGTTGAAAACTGTTTAATTTGTTTATCGATACAGAATTTTTTTATTTCATTTATTGCTCTATAATAACTTTCTGCGTTAATCTCCGAGTAATGATTACTTTTTATATTATAGAAAATTACTAATTCGTTGCCTTGATTGATTGTAACAAATTTATTACCATCATCAAACGTTACCTGTGGTGGCAATTTCCTATTGTCTATTAATTCTCTTATCGCGGGATGGGTTATTACTTTATCGTTTGATATCGGTATAATTAAACTTTCGCCGGGTTTCGCGTGTTTAATGCTACCTTCGACTTCTTTTATTTTTGAATAAAAAATTGGTTTATTTTCTGCGTTTTTAAATTCCTCAAACTCGCTAATTGGCTCATCGACTGTAACAACATGTATACGTGATAAGCAATCTGCGTTTGAATGTTGTGGCCCAGCTCTATACACGATTTCGTAATCGTATTCTTCAAGCTGTAATCTCCATCTCATTAATTGAGAGGAAACGTCCTTTATGTTAAATAAGTACGTTAATGGCCGGTGATCGGTAATTATTTTAAATTTTTTTCCATATAGATACGGTCTAAAGTATTTTACTGCCCAAACTATTGCTAACAATTCCTTTTGTATCACACTATAGTTTGTTTCGGCTTTATTCAGTGTTCTACTGGCATAAGCTACGGGTTGGTCTTTTGGTACCTCCCCTTGTGACAGGACGGCCCCAATTGCGTACTGGCTGGCGTCCGTCATGAGGTTAAAATTCCCGTTCTCCCAATTTGGGTATATTAACAATGGTGGATTCATTAATGCGTTTTTCAATTCCTGGAATGCGTCTTCACAAATATCAGTCCACACGAACGGTGTGTCTTTCTTTAGTAAGTTAGTAAGAGGTTTGGCAATTTTTGCAAAGTTGTCAACGAATCGGCGGTAATAATTTAGTAACCCTAAGAAAGATTTAACGTCCTTCTCGGTCAATGGTCTCGGATATTCTTTAATACAACTTAGTTTATTAGGATCCGGTGTTACTCCGTTTTCGCTGATCAAGTGCCCCAAGTATAAAACCTCCTTACGTAAGAACGCACACTTTGTGAGCTGTAATTTAAGTTTATGCATTCTTAAACGATTAAAAACCTGTTCCAATTTATTTTGATGATCTCTTAAACTTGACCCGTGGACTACAATGTCATCTAGATACGCGGTACAAAGCTCTTCTAAGCCCATTAAAATTGCTTTCATGGCTCGCGTAAACGTTGCCGGCGCGGAACTAAGCCCAAATGGTAATCGTAAAAATTCGTAATGACCTGATTTAGTTGAAAAGGCTGTTTTATGAGTGTCTTCCTTATCTATCATTATCTGGTGATAACCGCTCGCTAAATCCAAAGTAGAAAAGTACTTAGATGAACCTAGCGATTCCAATATTTCTAAAATATTCGGTAATCCATAAGCTTCGGTTTCGGTGACCTCATTTAGCTTACGAAAATCCACACATACCCGCATTTTTTGTTTCCCGTCCGCGTCTTTTTTCTTTTTCACTACTACTAGTGGAAAGTTAAATGGAGATAATGAATCGCGTATTATATTCCCTTCCTTCATTTCCTTTACTTGTTTCTCTATTTCGTCTTGATACGCGTGTGGTAATCTATACGGACGTATATTTATCGGTTTTACACATCGCGGCGTGTTAATTTTATGCGTAACTATGTCAGTAGCGCTTAATTTATCCCCTTCAAAGAAAAATAAATCTGAAAACCGACTACAAAGGTCTAATATGCTATCGCGTTCTTCGTTGTTAAGATGCTCCGTGTTAATAGTTGCTTTTATCTTTTTAATTTTATTATCTGTTGGACTTTCCTCGCTAGCAATAAAAACGTTTTCATTGTACGGTTCCCACTTTAAATTACTCGTAGTTAATTGCTCGATCATGAACGGTTGTTCGGATATATTTATGATACTACTTATTACTTTATCACCTTTGACCGGACTAATGCTATTAGCTATAATTACGTTTTCATTGATTTCGTATTTTTTTATTGTTATTAGCTCGTGTTCGATTTTTTCATCGGCCCTAATTTGTAATACACAATTACTCCGCGGGGGAATAATTAATGCTTGGTTATTTATATTTATTTTCTCTGGTATTATTAATACTTCTTTATCCCAATCCAAAACGACTTTATTTAGTTTTAAAAATGTTATGCCTATTATACCTGCTTCGGGTATCGGAAAATTATCATTTACTATATCGAATTTAACCACGAAAGGTTGTTCGTTTATATAAATCGGAATTACTACCGAACCTACTGTCTCCACTGGACTTGCATGAATGCCTTTAATATTTTTCTTGTCCTTTTCGTTTACGATTACGTGTCCTTTTAGACTTGATATTTTAATAATGTTCATTTCAGAACCGCTATCGATTAAGAATTTAATCTCGTTTTTTATGAATTTATCGGAGAAGCATTTTATGTGTTCCTGTGTTATTGGTGTTATTATGCGTATATTACTTCCCGACTGTATTTCTTCGACGGACCTATTTTGGCGAGCCCCTTTATTTTTTTCCTCAAGTTTCTTTTCCTCCATATATTTTAATTTTCGACATTCGCTAATGTCGTGGTTAGTTTTTTTACAGTATTTACAGAATTTACTTGAGTATTCGCGTTTAATTGTTGTACTTGTACTTTGACCACTATTCGGATTTCTAAAAGTAGGTAATTTATGTTCGCTCGTCCTACACTCGTTTGCGTAGTGACCTAATCTATCGCAACGGTGGCATTTAATCGCTCTTTTATCATTAAAAGGTTTTTTCTCGAATTTATTTTTATTATTTGTAAATTTATTAAGCCCGCTCGCATTTTCGTAATATTACGACGTTTTTTCTTCTTCCATAGCGTTAAGTACTGCTTCTTCAAAAATCTGTATATTACGCGCTTTTAATATTATGCCGATAGATTGTGGAACGCCCGCTATGAATACACTCAATGCATGCGCTCGCACGGTCTGAGCTATTATATCGATTTCGGCTGTTTCCCTATTGATCGTTAATGCGCGTGTTAGTTCGTGTGCAGTTTTTTCTATTCTAATGGAAAATTCTTTAACCGATTCTTTTGTGTTTTTACGCATTTGACTTAATTGCACTTGTAAGTATGACACTGAGTGTGCTGATCCAAAAACAGTTTTAAATAAATTTTTTAATTCGTCCCAGGTATTAATTGTTTTGTACCTAACAGCTTCGAATGCATTACCCTTCAATTGAGTTAGTATAGCTTCCAAAATATTGGGTTTTAAAGTATCGGGGATATTTTTAAAAATAAATTCGCATTTAGCCAAAAATGAAGCTAAATCGGATTCGGTTCCTCCCGAGAAAGAAGGTACTAACTTGAGTGCCCCCTCAAAACCTAATTTATCCGTGTTGACCATTCTGATTCTAAGTGTTTCCGGATTATATGCTACTACTTGCCAATTTTGGTTTACTCCGTCAGACTCGGACGGTATACTTTCACCCATAATATCAGGTTCAGTCATATTCTGTGAATAAAATTAAACAAAACTACAGTGCGCTGACATCATATTATTAACGTTATTAAACAATAAACGAAAACCTATTTTTTTTTTAAAAAACAAATAACCTAAACGGTTTGGGCTAAACCAAAATGTAAAATGTTTAATTGTATTTAATCCCTTGTTTAAATATTTAATTTCGTCAAAATTTGAATTTTAAATGTCTATGAAAAATTGTATTATAATATTAAATTATTAATAGGTACTTACTGAAAATGTAACACTGTCATCAGCACTGGATATACCCTCTCTTCCATTTTCATAGTCAATTGTAAAAGACAGTAGATCAAAATACCACAGTGTTGGTACGTATATGTCATCGGTAGAGGATCCTGTGCGTTTGCTCGATCGCACTTTGGCCAGTTCTCTTCTGTATGCTGTCCTCAAATTATTAATTTTTTTTTTAACAAAAGCCTCGTCAGCTTCAGGAATTCTTTCTTGGCATTTTAAAACAAGTGCCTCAATGCCTTTATTTCTCAAGTGCTTATTTTTCGAGATATCACTTTTTACGTTCCACAATGCTGGATGATTTTTATATTCATCAATAAAATCGGCCACAAATGTCTTATCAAATTCCAAAGCCATTGTCATAAGTTTAAAAACTTTAAGAACTTTAAAAAATAAGACCGATTAATAGACCAAATTCAAACCAGGACTCAGTCAGTACTAAAATATAATGTAAGCCAACGCGCGGTTGACATCGACAGCACCATACACGCACATACGGGTTTGTCGACATGTCGGAGATTGTCGTGTTGACGCTCCGCGAGCGTCGACGCGCAGACACGACAACACGACGACCAACAGGCCCATACACGTATCAATTTGTCTGCTCGATGGCGTTTGACGATAAGTCTGTCGATAAATCGTTTCGTGTATGGGACGTGTATAAAACTGTCCAACTAAGAAAGTTTTCCATTCCAAATGATTATAGTCCATAACTTTTATAAACAGATCAAAAAGAGCTTGCCCAGTAGTGAATATTGACTCTTTGATGGAAATAAGTCTTTCAAATACTTTTTCTTCTTTTGTATACCGAATCACAAATGAAACTTGTTCTCTTTTTGATATATCAAAAGTAGAATCTATACTTATACTGAAGAATTTAGCATTTTGGATCTCAAATTTAATAATAGATAACATTTCTTGTGCTAGAGCATTTATAAGTAAATTTTGACGTTGCCAAGATATAAAAGAAAGTTCTTTTCTGCCGCTTATTTGAAGATTTGTAATATGAATTGAGAGAGCTGGAGAATACTTTGCCATAAGCTCAACCAAATCTTTAAAATTAAATTTATTTATATTCGACCATTGTTCCCGATGACCTCAAAAAGCCAATGAGTGGTATCCCAGATATTTAGTAATTTCAATCACCTGTCCTACTATTTCACGATTGAAGGCTACTTGCTTCTTTTTTTCTTCAACTATTAATGGTATTAATGGTAACGTTAATTCCCTCATTTTTACTTTAAGTGAAGCTTCTAAATGTGCATCAGTAGTCTCATGACCCATTAAGGATATAGACCCATTTTGGAATTTACAAAATCCATCTGATACCCAGGCTTTCTTACTTTTTTTTCCGAATAACATACAATGTAAGCAAAATATTCGGTTTATATCAGGAGAATAAGTTAACCAATCTCTATGCATCATTGTACCATCTGGTAACTTTCTATAATACCAAGCTTCATGGAAGCATCTGTTGCCAACTTTGGGAAATTGAGAATTTGGTAAATCTTTAGCTTTTGGTTGACATGGGCCCAATTTTAAAATCATATTTATTATCTCTGGAGTAAAACGGGCTATTTTCGAAAAAATATAGTTGGGTCGTTTTTCCAATTAAATGAATTTGATAATGATTCTAATTCATCACTATGTGTATCAAGCTACAAACAAACAAACATATAAGTAAGTATTATAAAAAAAAGCAAAGTATTAAACAAATCATAATATAACATTAAATTACATACTTGACATTCATTTAAAATAGATGATACTGAATCATCAATGTTATTAATGATAGAAATATTCTCCAGAAATTCTAATCCATTATCACTATTTTCAATGTTTTCATATCTTGTTTGTAAATTTAATTCTTGATTCTAAAAATACATAATGTAATACTTTTATTTTTATGACATTTTAAAGAAGTTTAAACTTAGCAATTAGTATATTTATTTATTAGCAATTTACGTTTATTGATAGTTAATCAGTAGTAACTTCAGAAGTGGCCAATAACTTTTCTGATATATTCTCATCATCACTATTTTTTTTATCCATATCAATCAAATTACTAACATTTGATTGGGTTATCTAGAAATGTGTGAATATTTTTTATTTATTATACGCAGAGTAAATGTAGGGTATTAATAGGTATTATTTTACCATAACATACAATTCTTATAAAACTATAATTAACAACTAATTTGACTCAACTATAAATTTGTAGGTAGTATGAAAAAGTTAAAATAACTAGAAAGATTTTTGTATTTTATGTGTACACCCATACTATATTATAATCATTGAAAATAGGATTATTTTCTGTAATGAAAGTTATTAAGAACATAAAAGCAGTAAAATATAAGTAGAAGAAACAAAAAAAATAATAGTAGAAAAATCAAGAATTAAATTTGTAATTCTTTATATAAGTACTTAAAATTTACAAAATTCCAACTTACCCAACAATCATTTCTGTCTCGACAGGAATTTTATGTGTAATAACTTTTTGAATAAGCAATCATTTTCTAATTTAAGTAAACCATTAATAATTAAATAATTTTGAACACATATTAATTTTAGTTAATAGCAGTTTTAAACTAAAATCTAAATTAGGTAATTTAATTTAAAAAAAATGTAATTTATTATATTTTTAATTGTTATAATTGCTCTTACCATAATTACCATAAAAGCATGTACCTATCTATAATTTATGAATTATTATTATTACTTATAACTTGATATAATAGTTTATAGCTGTGTACAATAATAGTTAAAAAGGACTCCGTTAAAAAAATAGTATTGTTTAAATCTCATGTGAATTAAGAAGCGGGTAAATATCCTTATTATGTATGTACTACCTTAAAATATGATAGCTATTTCCTACTTACTTTTAACCTAACCTAACGTGGACTACGCATGCCACATATCAGTTTTCCGTACGGAACATCCAAGGTTATTCATATTAACCGACATTGCCAACCTACAATTTTTTCATACAAAATCAATTTCCACATATAATACAGACCTCATGGCATAAATAAACACCAAATTCGTATATATACAGAATGTCCTACAAGCCACTGTCACATCCATGTACATTGATCTAGTAACAAAACAGTGCCACCGGGAGAGAAACATACTATTTCAAAAGCTATCACTAGCGTCTTACAGCTTATCGGAATTTGCCTACACAATGGGGGAAGGACCTGGCTACACTGCTTTAAAAACCGGAGAAATTGTATACCTAATAAAATGCAAACCTGTAGATGTTGAACTAGACAGAAGTCACAAAGTATGTTTTCAAGAACTCCCAATAATTTACAACAAACAGCATCTAATCATGGCACCCAAGACACACACAATACAGAAATACGGGACAGAAATAGACTGCACCATTATATTACCAACAGGCTACCTTATGGAAGGAGAATGGATTAGCGTGTCACCCGAATACAGCGAGCTAGGATCCAGCAAAACGCCTCAAATTCTTAAACCACAAACAACTTGGACTTGGGCATACAAAAGCCCGGAACACTTAATGAATGCAGGATTATACTCTAGCGACATGATCAATGCTTTACAAAAACATCTCTTATTTCCCCAAGAAGTGGATGCCGCACAAAACAACTTAGCCAGACAAACAATGGGCTACAATACACTTGACCAAGGTCTAAAATTAAAACCATTTATTGATGAACAAATAATAAGTCAATTAGTTGAAGACAAACTCAACAAAATGTGGGGTTGGTTCGCTGGATTTGGAAATTTCATATCTGGACTATTAGGAGTATTTGTAGCATGGAAAATCCTAATGATATGCCTGAACACAACAATCAACATGTCTATATTATATCAAACATTCGGATGCAGCTTCTAGGTATTGGCAGGCATATTTGCTAGTATGACACATTATTTTATGCACAAATCACACTCACATGACAATAAGCAAAAATCAAATATAATATCCAATGAACAAATCACCCACCAAGACACATATCTACTAAATACAGTTCATGAACAACCCATACCCGCACCCAGACAAATGTACCCATTCCTTAGAGTCGAGAAATCTCACTATCAAACACCCAGAAGAACTTTATAACAATTTCACCACAATATTATCACACCAAACCATAATTAAATACAATTTACCCCACCTAAATTAAATAACAGTATTTAACTTCATTCTATAAAATAACTTATATCATAATTTAGAAACATGGGATATCACATTGATCTAATGAAAAAAATACAAATAGAGCGACATCCGCCATCACGAAATGACACAAGACAATACAACACAACAACATTTTGGTGCACAACACTAACATCTACATCAAGTAGTCATAACGCAAGTAAAAATACTCCCACAACAAACATAATATCAGAAGTAAATCGAATAAGAATATTGGGAAATTGTTCTACCCACATAAACTACATGATAAAACAAAACAACAGATATCTATCAACAATACACTTCTACAAAGAAAAACTGGCAATCACCTATGGTAAAAAATACAACAATATTAAACAAGCTATTTATACAGACAATTTGAACAACACCTTCATCATATGCCTAAACGAAAACACAACAGACATCAATAATGCCCTAAAGATAATAACAGAGTTAGAACACACCGCAGCATCTCTAAGAATAAAAAGAAAAACCTACCTGCGAGCAACATTCCTATCTGAAATATTCATATGCCTTTCATCACAATTATGGCATATACCAAATTTAAAACCATCACATTTGCTAGAGAAAATCATTGACATAACAGCAATATCAGCCTATTTTATATTAAACGCTGGTTTATTACATGATCCAATATTCATAACTATGACCGGACATCTAGGCAAAGACCGAAAAAAATTCAAAAAAATGCCACCTTCATCACAAATCTTCAACATGCAAAACCAAAATTTATATTATGATTTATACTTCAACATCAGCAACTCCAGACAAAACTTTTTATCAAAAAACTACTCTGAAGAATTTCACAAAAAATTAACACTATACTTCAACGATTCATGCATATTAGACCCATCAATCCCAAAGAAAGACTGGCTAAGAAATATGTCTCGAAACTTCTACACGATGAACAATGAACACATTGGACGCATCATGCTGGCTTACACATTTTACAATTATGGCTTCTTCGTCATAAGAGCACCAGAAATTACACAATTTCAAAACGCAGCCATACCAAATGAAATGGGCAGATTATACATCACATACTACAACACCACACCACAAACACTTATAACAAACATACTATTAAAAACAATTAGCATAACAAAGGACACCATTCTGAAATCAAGAAATAAAGAAATGAAACAAATATGTAAAAAATTATTAAACTTTGAAATTACAGGACTTACAAAATAACAAAATGAGCAAATTAAACATCATAGTCATAGACTTCGATTTCACCACAATGGAACAAACCAGTTTAGTACTCATCTCTGGTGCAATATCCAATATATACCAAGAAGCCCCAATCATAAAATTAAAAGGATCACCTTTACTACTAAGAAAAGACCAAAACACAATACTAAAAATACAAAAAACACAAATCAATATAGTAATCAGAAACATTCTAAAAATCTTTAAAGGAAAAGATCACAAATCTACTCCAATTCTAAACGAACTGAATGAAAGCTTCCTTACAAAAAACAGCAACCTAGACAGAAATTGTATACAAAACTATTGTACATATAAAAACAAAACACCTGTCATCATCACATGGAATGGACACACGGACATGGAAATATTAAAAAGATTAAACATTCAACACAACATACTAAGCCTAAGAAGTTATGATATACACAACAACGGAATATTCTATCTACAAATAATCAACTTAAAAAACAAACAAGTCTTAACACAAACACAATTAGGAGAATTCCCAAAAAAGGAAGATTATTGGACCTCACCGAAACCCACAAGATAACATGCAAGATGACTCGCAATAACACTTATTCACACGACCCAGTCACAGATGTACACTACACCAAATGCCTATTCCACTATTTAAATAGCATAATCGAAATACCAATAAACAATTCAATAAGTAATCAATAAAATGAACCATAAATTCCATTAATTAAAATCCTACTTAAAGCTTAACTTAAAATTAATTCTAAAAATAATTTTCTTTTCTTCTTTCTTCAGCACCAGTAATATGTTGCACACACAGGAAATTGACCCTTCAATCCAAGAATTCATCACATTCAGTAAAGAACTAAGTTTAAACTCCAATCACCCTGAAACAGTATATACAAACTTAGTAATAAGATCCGATACATTAATAACACTAAAAATAATTAATTCAAATATAAATAAACTAGATGTATCAAAATGCACAAAGTTAAGATCATTAGTATGCTCAAATAATAATATCACCAAACTAACTGTTAATGAAAACCTAAAAACGCTAGATTGTGCTAATAACAAATTAACAGAATTCACCCCACCAAAAAAATCAATTCAAATAATATGTTCTAATAACAAATTAACAACTCTAACATTAAGTCGCAAAATAATAGAAGTATAT